TTGAGTATTCTTAAGTTACCGAGTTCTTTGAAGTTTATTAGAATATCCTCCTTAGTCTTGTCGAGTGTTTGGTCCTGTTCAGGAATATTTCGAAATTTTTTATTAAAAATGAAAGGCTCGAACTTTGAGGACTAATCATTTGATGAAAGACCTTCTTTATCATTTCTGAATGTAAAATTTCTATTACTTTGAACAATTTGCACGAATCTACGTCCCTACCTATGAAAACAGGGATCTTTGGAGTATAAAAGTATCGATAACGGCGATTCACGAGAGTTATTCATCCGACGATTAGGTTTCTCACGTTTCTCGACCCCCTGAACGCTCGTTGAAAATAATATTTACGGTTTACAAATTTTATTGTCGTACGCGCGGCTCGTGTCGTCACATTTGCTACGTCACATTATTGTTCCTTAATCATTTCCGGGTACCGCTTCCCACGTTCGTTCTGGTGGGTACATTTACACAAGTCACTTACATCGATATTGCGTCTAGCTGTATTACGGGATTTTATTTCCGACTTACGACAGACGATTGTATCGTGTCGAACTTTCGCACGAAGCGAGTTTTCTTCGGAGACAAAGAAAACCTTCTGCGAGGAGCTTAGAATTCCTTTGTTGTAAATAAAATGTTGTTCGAAATAGGAGTGGCGAAATTCTAGCTTCGACTAAAATTAACGTTTCTTCCATGCTGAGTGATTGTAAACACAGACACTTTTTCTGCTCCGTTTCATCGACGTTTCCAAGAAACGACATCAAATGTTATGTTTACGGTTGGAACTTTTACGTACGAATAACTGTTTGTTTTCATTTCGATGTACAAGTATCGGCTCAATGTTACAAGACGAGTTAGGACTGCGAATATTTATGAACTTTACGCGTTTGGTCGTATATGTGAACGTTTAGATTTTTATAATAATAATTACTGTCGATAATAAAAAGAACGGAAATGTGACAATAACTTATTCACTACAGAATCCATATTCGCGAGTCTTTAATACACGAATGTAGTATTTACTTGGGAGTGGTATCGAATCCTTATTAATACGTAAGAGTACGTAGGAGAGTGCAGAAACTCGTGGAGAATAATTTACGTAGTCGAAAAGAGTTGTCGACTGTTCTCTACACGTTCCTCCAGTTTTATTACTTGCTCGTACATATCAATAGGTTTGTTTAAATAACCCTCGAAGCATGTGGTGTAACGTAGATATAGTATCTAAAAATAAAATGATAGTAAACGTTTATTCATTTATTTCTTAGTTATGTATCTTGTTAGATGAACCATTTCTTTTTATATTCAAGTCCATATGAATATTAACAATTTTTCGATCCTTTATAGTATCTTCTATCTACATCTGTACTTATAATTTATTCATACTGCAATCAAAGATCGATACTCGTACTTGTTCGCTCTGAAATATTTTATTTCATAATCTAAACTTTGTTGTAATAAGATACCAAACACCTGTCGTATGTTAATACTTTAACGATAGTTTTCTTAAGTAAAGTATATCAAGAACTTGTGCACGTCTTTAAAACGCGAGAAACACGTTTTAATATAAGACGCTTTTTAAAGATCGACAAGAAAGTAAGAAGAGAAAAATAAAGCGGCGATGCTGCTTGAAGGGCAATTTTTATTCTCTCGTCGTAACGAATAGAAAATTATTCATCATTTATTCTCTATTCGAAACTTTCATTTGGACGAGAGTTTAACTCAATGGCCAGAGTTTTACTCTGGTCTGGCGGATGCACGAGTAACTGTAATTTGTTTAGGCGACCTCGGAACAGCGTATGATTGTTTTAGAGACAGCCATACGACCTGCATACTACCGCTGCTAATCAAATCCACAACAATGGTCTTTTTCGAGTAATTAGGCGCGGTATTTACGCACCGCTATCCTTTAACGTCGCGCCGTGCTACATTCAGCATAGCGTGTCTGCTTCCTTAATTAACCACTATCCAAGATTCAACGCGATGATATCCGCTGTTGTAGGTCCCTTCATAATAGTCGTCTTATGGTCACTGTACTACCTTTTGAGCTACAAGACGATTGTAAGGGGATGCTACAACATTTTTCAATTTGTTACACGATTCGTTATTAAGAAAAATGTCTCGAAAAATAAAGACGAAGCGAACATTTTATTTCTCAGATACAATCACTTTTAGTTACTGCGGTACGTCGCGGTAATTAACAAACCTTTCTCATGTCTAATTGCATCGCGTTCTTTTCTTAATTGTGATATGTAGAATAACCAATTTTGTAGTAACCTTTTAAATTTGTTCCGTATCATTTTTATTCGGTTCTTTTCGACAGCCACGGACTAACACCGATCATTAACCGAGTTCTTAATAGCTTCGGGTGGCATTCGGACCACCGAATTTAGCATATGGGAGCTTCAAGGTGGTCACCCTTCTAGATACTGATTATAGCCATTGTAGTGGAACCCCTCATTGGTGGTTTCTATACCTCAACAGCTGCGAGTTTCATTAACCCTCTTTATCGTAAGGGAAATTTTGGGGTCTCGACTGACCCCCAGACATTTCTACATTTATCACAGCTTGGTGGGTTGGCAGGAAAATTCGTGCCGTTTTTTAGTAGGTGGTCTAAGGACAGGTTCAGGCATATTTGGAAAAAAGTTTGGTCACGATAAATTGTTGCCGGTGTTACACGTCTTTGAATATGGAAGAAAACAAAGTGCATTTTAAGCATTTAAGGCAGAGGTTCCCAAACTTTTCAGACCGGCTCCCTTAGTATACAGATTATTTTCGGCGGTTCCTTTAATACCAATCGATACGAGGCTGATCTGAAATATGTTAGACAGACTAGATTTTGTGGCACGAGCTAAGAGTTGAAATTAAAATTCTTACAAATAAGCTCTCGGTAGACAAAGTGCTAGGAAGTAGTTGCTAGGAAGTAAAATCTGTACGAATTCTTTCTCGTATAGGGAACAGTGGAACGCATCCTCGATGCAAACGTATCATGCACGAAACATTGCAAATATCAAGTGTCTCGATACGAGAGAAGCCAGCAGGACAGGCGAGCAGATCGGCAACAATTGCGCGAAATCGGAAGCTTCCTCATTGTTAAGAAATCAAATGTCAGAAGTCGCGCGACGCCTGTTCCATTGAATGGGCAACGGTTCGTTCGATTTGTCATTCGGCTCTCATGATTTCACTGCTGCACCGTTCCGTGCGATGCATTCGCTTTTGGCGGAGCGCAGAGGTGTCTTTCGGCGCGTTATTCGCGACGCGTGACAAATAGATTATTGCTACGCGATTAATGCGCCATTGTAAAATGAGACGTGTCGACAAATTTGTTACTCGACGAGAGTTTGCTGACAACGGTTGAGCCTCGATGATATGATCGAATCGTTTGTGTAAGAAACTAGGAAAAGTGATATTTAACGCTTTATTTAACGCTGTCTATTAGGTTCGTTTATTTAGGAATTTATTTAACTTACTACGTATATTAGCTATTTTGTTAGCAGCAGACGACAGAAAAAAACATAAGAAATGGAATAAACGAAACAAATGAAGCAAATGAAACAGCAGTAATGAACGAAATGAATAATGAAATGTTTCGAGTGTTAGTCAACGTTCAATTAACAACATTGCAAAAAAGTTGTGAACGATGTTGCAAAACAGTAGTTACGAGTTCCAGGATTTCTAACAGGCAATGTTGGCATCGCGATTAATCAATTACACGTACGCTGTCGTTGCAATTAGCCTGCATAAACGTACACCTCGTTGCACTAGAGCGCGCGATATGAGCGAAACGGTAAAAAAAACCAATCGTCGGTTTTGCCTAAGACTTTTAAGTTGTATTTTGTTTTGCAACGGATACCGCGTGCGATATCTACCGTGTTCAACTGTTCCATTAGCGCCGGTGCAAACAGGCTTTTGCCAAAGCCGCTTTATTCCACGACCAGCTCTTTTGCTCACGGTTTTACTCGCACGAATAGTGCCGGGGAAAAGAATTAAGTGTTTTCCGCTTGAGAATCTAGCAAGTGAAGTTTACGTATACGGCGGTGATAAAAATTACGAATAACATTACATAATGTGACCATTATATTAAAAATATACTCGGACCAAACTACCGTGTTTTCGTACGTTTTTTCTCTTTTTCTTTGTGCGCGCTAAAAAATTAATTGTTAGGAGAGTATCTTTTAGGAGTATTGTTTAGGTCAGCAGAAATAGTCGTCATGTGCATCCTCTCTGACAACAAAAATGAATAAATCCTTACAGTTATTCAAACAAACAAAAATTATTTTTTGAACTCGAAGAATGCTTACAAAGGTCGAGTATTTTTGATATTTATAACAATACCTTTAATAATACATTCTCCGTATGTATCAATCCGTATGGGACCGAGTAATCCTGAAACCGTTGAGAATCGAGCGAAGAAACAAAATTTTGGAAAAAGTACCTACGCTCGCGGGTTTATTCATAAACATAGATGGGATCGCGATTTCTCGAGCGGGCATTTACCCCATTATCACCTCTTGGTTCGCGTACGAACACGTTGGTTATCGTTCTATCGAAGAGTACTACGCTGAACGTCACGCTCTTCAACCTACGCTCCGCTTTACGACCCGAAGAAGCTTCTAAGAAATCTTACGTAATCGCTCGCCGCGACGCGAACGCATTTATAGTTGGGGAGCAAGAGACTTTACAAAGCATGGCCGCGACGAGATGTTCCGAAAACGCGGATCCAGATACATGGCGTGGTTTGATCCGTGAACGAGGATCGTGACGAGAATTATAACCCAAATTCTAGATAGCTTCTGGAAAAAATGAATGATGAAATCGAAATGAAAATCTAATTAAACGCAAATGTCTAACTACGCCTACTTTCGCGCGGAGAATTGTAAAATATTTAATAATAATAAATTTCGAAGTTTTGTTTTCGCGAAGCATTTCGGAGCGAAAGCACGTTATATGAAACGGAGTAAATATATTCTACTGGGGAAAATAACGTGTAAAAATGACTTCAACTAATATCAGATACAAATTACATTTGATTTCAACACTTTTGCATACAGTTTGTTACACAAGAGTAACGTTGATATTCACCAAAGGATCGATTCGAAATACGGAACAGGTTATTTTAAAATCGTCCATTTCTCCAAGATCGAAGGAAACATCTTTGCTACCATGATTTTATTAGGTTGTCCCGAAAGTTTCTTTCGCGAGTTGCGTTCAATTATTTTACGTGGTCGTGTTTATATAAACAATCTAATCAACCGACTTTGTTTCATAAATATTCACGTTGTAACGGCAATGGATCAAAATGAATCGTGCACAATTCAGTAACGTAACATAAAGCATAGAATATTGTGCACGTATTACTTATTAATAAAGCGAAAGAAACTTTTCGGACAACCTAATACGTAACGTACATCATGCATAAAGAAAATTATTCGGTCTGTCCTTCTCTGTTTTTAACCTGCGGAAGTAGGTTAGTAGTTCTCGGGTCTCTGTTGCTACAGGGTAAAATAATAAATTTAGTAAGTAATTTATAATACTTTAGTTAAAGTATATACTATAAATGTCTGTGCGTCCTATAAATATCAATCTCTGTCACCGTAGTGTCCGTGCCGCAGATGGTATAATCGGCCGGTCATGTGCTTGATCTCGCCGGTTCGAATCCCGTTCATCGAACGTCTTTTTTGTTTCTTTTACACGTGTAATGAGCGCGTGTATTATATCGAATCGATGTCATACGCGCATTAAAGGTACAGAAATAATCGGCTGGATTTAGGTACAATACCATCTACTCTGTAAGAAACGGATAGCGATTAGAGTGTCCTAGAAAATGTTCCACATTTCGAACTTTGAATCTACCAACTAACTACCTCCGAGCATAATTCAAGCAAGTACGATCTACGGTCTTCTGCCGTTGGTCTGAAAGCATTTACGAGTTCCTCTGCAACACCGTGCTCGTTCTTTAGATGCAAAAACTTTTGGTACGTCCATGTTTCATGACGTCGTAATTGTCGAATCACCTTCCGCTCAAGAAACACGCTCTGCTCAGAAAGAAAGGGAGCAACGTCTGGTCTATATACACACTGAGCGAATTGTTGTTCTAATTATGGAGTTATCGTTTCAATTTTGCCCTACTCCGTTTTACAAATGATCGATACGAGGAATGAAAATGCAAACAAATGCGTGATGTACGTTATGCAGTTGCGTAATTAGTAATGCGAATACTAATACACCAGTAGCGATTAGACTGCGGACTAGACTGTGGACGTTTACGCAAATTCATATTTTCACAGATATATTAGGTAGAGAGAAACTTTTACATTAAATTCAAACTTTCCAATAAATTTCTGTCTTTAATTCGTTATATAATCTCCCTCATTGTCAGCAGCCTTTTGTCACCTGGTGTGCAAATTTTCACTGCCAGAGAAATCAATGAGCTGATAAATTAAACGACCAAGTATTTAAGATGGCAAAAACGACATTATTATCCGGGCCACCTAATAGAAAAAGAATTGAAATTTAAACGAAAATATGCCTTATATTCTAAAGGTATAACATGTACGTTATTGTTGACATTTTTTGCATTTGTGCATATTCTCATAGATTTACCCATATTTCCACCTAATAGAAAAAGAATTGTAATTTAAACGAAAATATGCCTTGTATTCTAAAGGTATAACATGTATGGTATCGTTGACATTTGACATAATTTTGCATTTGTGCATAGTCACGTAGATTTACCCATATTTTTATTTTCTATAAGTGTGTAAACATCCGCAGTTGAGTGCCAAGCTATGTGACGGTTACTTACGTTACTCATGTTTAGTACTGATTAACCCTACGCATTTACTTTCAATTTAAAAAAAAAAAAAAGCGAAGGGTGATCCCCCAGTTTAAACGCTATCCTCAGGAAACTCCGAATACGTCGCGATTAGGTTCAGAATTTTAGCTATTAGGTTGGTGCAAAAGGAACTGTTGTTTTTAATCTTTAGCTTTAAATGACTATACCTTCTTTTTTTTTTTTATAACAAACTTTATTAATCGAAATAAGAACCATTGGAATCAATAAATTTTTTCCAATGAGAATTCTGTAGTTCTTGAGGCCAACAAATTCATCGAAGCTCTCAATTCTTGACCTCTCACGAACTCGTACAAAAATATCGCTCTTTTCTAGCATTGCTAAAACGATGAAAGTACAGCGTGCACCAACAGCGATCATATAATACTTGTAATCAAAATAAAAAGCAGATTCTAAGCTTGATACGTACAATGTGAATGTACAAAGCGCAATTCCTTTCGATCAACCTAACATTTACTGCATCAAATCGACTAGTTCGACTAACTAAACGCGTCGTAAATATAAATTTATCGCGAATGCCGTACAGGAAAACTCTCTTCAAACTACGTACATTACGACAGACTATTTCTTATTCTTAGCCTCTTTCTCTCTCATTCTCTTTTGTTCTCTGTATTCCGTATTCTGCGTTCTGTATTCTTCTGCCGTTGCTCGGCACTTCGCCTGTTTATAATAAACACTTTCTCCCTCTCTCTCTCTCTCTCTCTCTCATCCGCACTCGTCTCGTTCGCTGAACTTCGCATTCATACATTGCGCGGTTAATTTAAACAGCCTACGAACGTAATGAAACAATTCGTTCGGAAATTCGATAAATCAACCTTCTGTCGTACAATTAACGTTGTAAATTAATTCCGACATTCCAGAGAAAAGATCTAAAGATGTAAAACATGTCGATATCCCAAAATGATACGAGTTTGCTCCGACGGTGGAGCCGAACGTCCCTGTGGAGGCTAGTCGTTAACCCTAGCCGAGATAATAGAGAAAAGCGTGGGCAAAGAAGAAGCTCCCTCCGTCCGTTCTGGTCCTGGTGGGACGAGGAGGGTGATCAGTAATAGCGTTCTCGGTACAGCGGCGTACCAACGCGTGGTGTATCCACGAGTCTGCGTGGCGTGCAAGCAACAGGAGGCGCTGGATCGTGGATCGGTAAGGGAGGGGCGGGGGAGGAGGAGCCTCGGGGCAAGGGGACGTCGACGCGCAAAGTTTGTAGTTTTGTTTGAAGCCGATCTTAGCCGAAGGCGATTGCTCGGCCGCGAACGACAGGCTTCGTAGCGTGTTGGTGAGCACCAGCTGGCTGCCGGCTGCACGAACCGACAGAGTTCGCCGTTCCACGGTCGCCGTCGGTGGACGGACCCAGTGGCGTGCACCTTGTTCAAAGATTCTCCTCGTCCATCGCTGCGCTCTTCTCTCCTTCGCCCAGTTCTCTTTTCTCCCCTTGCTGGACTCCCCTTCGGTCGACAAGAAGGTTTAAAAGAAAGGTGGGGGCAGTTGGTTCTCCAGTTCGCGCGGTTCCGAAAACCTGAACCACCCGTCGTATCATCCGCACCGGTCTCGGGAGCTCTGGGTCAGCCGGACGACTTCTCTTCATCTCTGTCTTCTCTCCCCTCGTGGCGAGCTCGTGCCACCCGCGGGCCACGGTCGTTCCGACCGTTCCCGACCGTTTCTTTCTTCGATCCCTCCCCCTCTCCGTCTATCTCTCCCACCCCGCTCTCGCGATCCTCCACTCCGTTCAACAGCCTCTATACCTCTATACCTACCTGAGCCTGTCCGCCTGCCTATCTCTCTAGTCGCCCGCTTCATCCATTCGACGCGGTCTCCCCACCGCGAGAGAGCACCTCGGACGTCGCGAACAGAGAGAATCCATCTCTCGCTTCCTCCGTTCGATGCATCGCTTCGTGCCACGGTTAGCGTGCCAGCGAAGAGGACACTTGGTCTGACCGGCGCGACGCGCGACCAACCGACCAGCACCGCCAGAAACACGCGGCCGCGCGTTATGTGCCGGCCAACTTCGATGTTCCAGTGTTGAGAGCACTGCGCTCTGGTGCGGTTCGCGTTATGCCAGTTGGTGGTTCGATGTATTCCGTTCGGTTCCTGTTCTCGCTCTGCACGCTAGACGCGCGCCGTTCGTCTCGCCTTCGTCGCGTCTTCGAGTTGTTTCTGTGATTAAACCAACACCACGTGCCCTCGCCTGTCACCTGAGCTAACCTGGAGTGGATATACAGTTTGGTAACGTATCTACCTTGACTCTATCTTAGAGGACTACCCTGGAACCTACTACACAGGCACGCTACGTCAGCTACAATTTTGAATTTTGAATTTTTATTGGAGTAAACTTGAGGTTTTCTTTTCTGGTACTCGATGTTGGGGTTTTTGGTATTTGGGAGGCTCGCGTCTCCCGTAGAAGGTTCTGGGGTAAGTGCCACGCGGTTTCTCGTTGTTCCCTTATCGGTAGGCATCTCTGCGCTCCCTGCTCCGTGGCTAGGTTCCAGCTTCGTTCTTTAGCGGGCTTCGAAGCATTCTCAAAATGACGCTCGTACATACGACACTGTGCCCTAGCTCAATTAACACGTCGATCGCCGTGTCACTTATATATATATATATATATATATGTATGGGTGACAGTGATTTTCACTCGAGAACTAAAAAGATTAATTCTGAAAGTTAGACGTCACAGGAGATGAATCTGAATGAAGTTTTTGAATTTTGATGTAGTTACGAAACTAAATACCACGATAAATATTTGATTACCTGGACTCTGATAGTCTAAATAACATTTAATGTTGGGATAAATTTTCAAGAATATTCGTTTGGCAGTCAACGTGTTAAGAGAACGAAGCATGTTTGAAAGATGTCGGATTGGAAGTAAATTGTGAATTTTATGCATTTTAGATATTAACCTTTTGCACTCTTGCACCATCTCGTTGCAAAACGTGCGAATAGGAATCGCATTACATAAAATAGTCTATCTTTGGAAACGTGTCGTTTTTGGTATTATTAGACTTGATTATAAATTCTTCTAGCTTTCTTGATGCGGCGACACCGCTACAAACATAGATCCTTTATGGTGTTACGAACAAAATTTGTTAGACTTACGGTGTCCCCTCGTAGGGGACATCCGAGTGCAAAGGGTTAATATTATTCTCTCTAATAATAATCCACTGTACGTTTTGCATATTTTTTCTATGTCTTTGGTATAATTATACCCCGCACAATGCATAAAAACCAAAGTTAATTAGCGACTCGGATGCGACTCGATTAATGAAATCGGAGTAACGATTCATCAGCTACTAGACACCGAACACGCGTTGCCGAACGTATTTCATTTCTGTATAGGAGCATTGTGTGCCTCGTAGACAATGATATATAGACGATTTACTCCAAAATGGAGTAAAGCTAAAAAGTATCAATTGTTAACCGATGCACCATCACCTAATACGTTTCACCATTAGGTTTCTCAGAGCATGATCGTTTTGGCCCATTCCGAATTTCTCGAGCAAAGTTACAGAAACAATCAAAATTCTTTTCTCGAACTCAGGACCCAGTGACCTTAATTTGCTTCTAAACTATGCTCGATATTTCTTCGATACAAGCTACGTACGATATACCTTCCCCTAATCTCCAGACCATGTCTAATTCGGACCAATTCACGATCGTCTTTCCCTTGAATCTTCGACCACGAAGATCCTCATATGTCACGTTCTCGAAGGACTCGCATGCTCCGTAGAATACAGAACGAAGATCGACCACGATCCAGGCCAGGATCCCATCCTTTGCGAAAGGACTCTGGCAGCGTCCTCGCGAGGCGGCGTTGCCGTTTCATCCACGTTGTTCTCGTTCCCCGTATTCCGTTTCGTTGTTATATTTGCGTACAAAGAAACCGAGAGGATCGATCGAACGATCCGAGACGTTTCGCGCACGCTACGAACCGCGATTTTCGCGTGCCTCCCGCGAGAGAGACGGACGATCCCAGGCCGATTCCTAAAATAAATAATCGATCGTTCGCTCGTTTCACGTAGAAAAACTGTTAAACCGAGCCGCGTTCCCTCCCTCGCCTCGCGGTCGTTTCCTGTTCTTTACTTCACCTGGAGCGATTTCCGCTCCTTGGTTATCGGGGCACTCGTTCCGCGTTGATTATGGGGGCATGCGCAACCCGGCAGAGTCAGAAACGTTTGTTCAACGCTAGGTTTTCTTCGGTCGAAAGTTTCATTTGTGGAATAAGAGTTATTTATAAATTAGATGCGCGTAAGACTTATTTGATTATTCGTTTGTTGGAAAATTTGTATAAACGGTTGAGATACCGTTTCATCGTTACGTTAAATTTACTACATTACATTTTTTACATTTTACTACATTAAATAGATAGTAAATATTGATATTATTTCGATGATAAATAAATTTATATTTGA